CACTTTGTCGGGTACTTCTTCGCCAAGTTATCCACCACTGAGCACCGCCAGTCCAACCTAAGTTTTACCATCACGCCGTACTTATACTGCACCCACTTCAATAAAGAATCAAATAGTTATTAGTCCTCGTCATGTTATATGTAAACCATATTCTCCTCCTAAGACTCCTTAAATACTGACCATTGTATACAATGTTCGTTAGATTCTATAACTTCTACTTCATTTTCTGCTGTTCACAACCTTAAAGTACACTTAGTTCAAAATATTCCGCTTTTTCTCCGAATGGTTCGCCTTCACCATAATATTGACGTTCGTCTCAAAGTACTACAAGATCACCACTAAACATACTTGTACATTCACCAACCTCACTCAATTGTTATCCATCCCGCGGAAAACGTTAACTTCAATCGTAACTGCTTCCCTTTCGATAGGTTAATTAAGAACATTAGGTAACTATCACCTACATCTCATCTTTGGAATTCAGTATTGCTTCCGGTATAGTTATGTGATCAGTCGTCATATTTATGCATTCGTCTTTGTTCATTGTTTGGTCCAGAACACTTGCAAAACTTCCCTCGGCGGAGACCGTAGAGCGCAGATGCCACCGGGCGGTAGTTGTTGTTGGTTAGCTCACTTTGATACATACGAGACTCTGCTCTCATTGGAAATAATTGTAAATGTAGTAGTAGTAATCGACAATGATCCTCGGCGATCATCTGCGATTGCAAGAACCTCTGCGTTCACTTGTCGTTTAGTAGTTGAAACGTAAGCACTAAGGTCCCTGCGCCACCCCAAATTACATAAGGTAATTTTGCTTGTTGTGCTCGAAAAGAATCTCTCAATAAACCACCAAACTTAGGTAATCATAAAACTAATCACTACTTGTGTTTTATTATTTCTATCTTTCACTTCTTCACAATTCCCGCCTAAAACATATGGGGCTTGGACCTGCATAGACAATTTTACCGTTGTATGGGGGCTATACGATATCGTGGACCTATATGAATAATTCTTTTTCAGAGATTAAGGTACTCAGGAAGAACTCTTTGTGTGGATTTTCAGACAACTCTATTGGAAAATGTGGCTAAAATCATCAAAATACCGAATATCGGGGGCTGTACGATATAGTGGACCTATATAAATAATTCTCTTCCAGAGTGTAAAGTACTCAGAAAGAACTCTTTGTGTGGATTTTCAGACAATTCCATTGGAAAATGTCATCAAAACACCGAATATCGGTTGGTACCGTTGTATGGGGGCTATACGATATCGTGGACTGATATAGCCCATCTTCGAACTTGACCTGCCTGCAGACAAAATACAGATCTGTGAAAAATTTTAGCTTCCTTTCTTTAAATGAATGAATTTGAGACTATATAATGCGTTTTTGGTTAATCAATTTTTTTATTTAATACCAAAAAATAAAAAAGGCACATTTTCAGAGCACAAAAGTATTGGCACACCTAAATTATATCTTATGAATATAGAAAATATTTGCGAATTAATATTTTGTTGGCAATCCCTTCCGTTTAATAACAGCATCCAGTCGTTTTGGTATGGAATGAACCAATCTTTTGGTCGTTTCTTCGCCTATATTTTGTCATTCTTCCAATAAGGCTATTTGCAGCTCACTTTTATTTGAAATTGCACGTTTTTTAACCCGTGTCCCAAAACTCAGTTGACTTATTTTTATACTAATTTGCATACACTAGACGTTTCTTTAGGTTGGTGGGAGAAAAGAAATTATTTCCATACTATGCATGGTGGAGGGTATAAAAAGGTGGAGAACTTGGTGAAGCACGTTTAACAATTGTTGTGGAAGAGCACATTGAAGTGCAGTGAAACGAAAGGGGAAATCTGAACTTCTGTTGTTGACTCATCAGAAGTATCATTTAATACTACTTTTTAAGTCCACTAATAGCTATAAACGTGGAAATTCAATAGGGAAATTCAAAGAGAGAGAGAGAGATGATTGCTATAGCTTTAGAGGACAGAAAGATATAACAAGGGATTTTTGCATGTTTTACAGGCAAAATTATTGACAGTGAGCCCATTACCTTTTTTTATCGATTGTTTGCAAAGGGAAGAAAATTTTTCCTAAAAAATTTACATAAGAAAAAGTGAAAAGAAATGTGGCTTTTGGTGCACTTCTTGTGCCGATCGATGGAATTCGGAATATTGAAACACATTTTCATAAAATATTTTTCCCTCGTTTTCGACTAAATGACTGACGAGTATGATGTAAACCATTGCGTCTCTCTCTCTCTCTCTCTCTCTCGCAATATACTTGTACTTCTAAAGCCATTTTAATTAATAACATAACTTTTGCATTGTGTGTGTGTAAAAAGAAAAAAAAAAAAAAAACAACTAGAACAGTGGTTTATAAAAAAGGAATCATCTGTGTCCAAAAAATCAGAAGCTTCAATATCCAGGTATTGATGGAGCCATAATAATGCGGACCATAGTAGCTAAAAATAAAGACATTACGCTATTTAATGTTGTTTAATGATCTGACAAATTTTAGGTAGATTATGAGAATATTTCAAAATCGTGGATGTCAATCGAGTTGTTTGAAAAATTTCTGCTTAGGCAATTGTCCAGCACATCTCAAATCTATCCAAGATAAGTTTAAGTACATCAAATTTGTCTACTTTCCTCCTATTATGACTTCAGCTTAGCATTCAATGGATCATTGAAAAATTGAAAAGAATCGTACAAAACATTTTGTACGACTCTGACGATGATAATCTTTTATCAATGAATCACGAAGCACGAATCAGTGCAAATAATGAACGTTACTCCGTTTTTATACCCTCCAACAAAAAAAGTATGGAGGGTATATTAAGTTCGTCATTCCGTTTGTAACTCATCGAAATAATCATTTTAGAACCAACAAAGTATATATATTTTTGATCAGCGATCAGACGATTTAGCCCTGTCCGTCCGTCCGTCTGTTGTAATCACGCTACAGTCTAAACGAATTAAGATAGGAAGCTAAAATTTTGCACAGATCTCTCTTTTGTCTGCAGGCAGGTCAAGTTCAAAGATGGGGTATATCGGTCCACGATATCGTATAGCCTCCATATAACGGTACTCCCCGATATTCGGCATTTTGAAGATTTTAACCACATTTTTCAACGGAATTGTCTGAAAATCCACACAAGGAGTTCCTTGTGGGTACTTTATACCTCGGCAGAGAATTATCTATATAGGTCCACGATATCGTATAGCCCTTATATAACGGTACCTCCGATATTCGGCATTTTGATGATTTTAGCCACATTTTCCAATCGTATTGTCTGAAAATCCACACACGGAGTTCTTTGTGACCACTTTACCCCTGAAACGGAATTGTCTATATAGGTCCACAATATCGTATATCCCCCAGATAACGGTACTCCCCTATATTCGGTATTTTGATGATTTTACCCACATTTTTCAACGGAATTGTCTGATAATCCACACAAGGAGTTCTTTGTGAGTACTTTACTCCCTGAAAGAGAGTTGTCTATATATGTAGGTCCACGATATCGTATATCCCCCATATAACGGTACCCTCTGATATTCGGTATTTTGATGATTTCAGCCAGATTTTTCAACGGAATTGTCTGTAGCGTAATGTTCCTAATTTTTTTTCCTAGAACGAAAAAAAAACTTAGTAATTGGTCTCCCTTCTTGTGAGAGTACAACACTTATTGCATGAGAGGATACGTCCGTAGTTGAACCAGAAATGATCTCACTCCTATTAGGGTGGTAGATACAGCAAAGTTGGAATTGCTTCAAACTTTTTGGTACTCGTTTTAATACCGCTTTGAGAAACCGCAAATCTAAAGTATTCAACATTGCTTTGAAAAAAATTCCTTTTTTTCCGAAGAGACCCTCATATTAGCGTCAAATTGACAAAGTCGGAATAGGCTAGTGGATACAGGTATAGTCTAAAATATACCCAACCACGCCATCAAACGACGTCATCAGGTAAGATAAAAAATCCGTTACTGTGCCAGAAATATTGATTCTACATTTATGTTCGATAGTGTTATATCCCTGAATTGACTTAACTGAAAAATTATTTAATAATATTTTCATGACATAATAATCTTATGACATAATAGTCATTTATGTTTGATAGTGTTGTATCCATGAATTGACATAACTGACAAATTATTAATAATATTTTCACGACATAATCGAAATCCAACCGAGCAATTATTGCGCTAAAATTTAAAACAGTGTTAGAAAACGAAAGCGTCGCATCGCCAGCACCTCACACCTTGTTTCCTTGTATAATGACCGCTTCGTAGTGTCGTTCTATACCATCGTATTTTTAAATAATTCAGCCTCGCGTTATACTATATTTTAACATTCCTCCTGTTTCCATTCAAATAGTACCAAATTTAGTACTTAATACACATTACCAAAACAATCCCTCGTATCACTTCTACTTCCTAAGCTTGGTTTTCATAACAAATTTCTTACCTTACCAAATGTAGTGCCTTTTAGTACTTTTCCTATACTTGTTTGAGTTCCCATAAATCAAATAACATCAAAGATATTCACTTCCAGTTCTATTCCTTTCCTAAATACCATTTAGCACTCTTCCTACTTTTTGGTACATTTTTCAAAATTCACATACATATTTGAGACCGACTTCGAATCACCGCAACTCCGTTGCGTATCGGATAATTTCATAAACAAATCACCCATTTTACTACTTTAAATTCTCTTAAGCATAACTGAATCAGAATGACCACTGAGTACCACCGGTTTATATTTTTTTTCTCAAACACTCGGTTTGATTCCTTCATAAATGAGCTGCACTACGAACTACTATTAAACGTTGCTGAATGAAAATAATCACCAAATGAATAGAGAGTACAAGGGTAATACTGAGTAAAGAGAACGGGAGAGCGGGAGGAAGAGAGATATAAAAATTAACAGAAATTAAGTGTAAAATAAATAGTAGCAATTATAGCTGTTTGTTTTTTTTTTTTCATTTACAGATGTGGGATAGAAGAGCAAATGCAAATCAACTAAGTGGGTTCCCATCTATTTGCGTCTTGGCTCAATAAAGTTCTGATTACATTCTACCGCAAAAATGTGGAGGCGGTGTGTGAGTGTCTGTTTTTTAAGCATTTGCCGCTAATCACAAAATAGTCACGGCAAGCCGGCCACTGATCCATATCTTAACCACACCACACAAAAAGTGAACCTGATAGCAAATTTCAGATTTCCAGCTCCTTCCCTTCCTCATATACCAAATTTTGAATTATTTAGTACTTTTCGATCTTTTTTTCAAAACCACTTTTTTTTAAATCTCAACCCTAATATCAACCAATATCAATATTTCAAATTTCAAGCTCTATCGAGGAAATATCGCACCAGAAGTGGAGGTGCGGGATTAGCGTTCCTGTATCACCATTCTGTTCAATACAGACATATCTCGCATGAGCTAGTCTCTAGTGACCCATTATCCCGCCGATTAATAGCTGTGAACCGCGTTACTTGCCTAATATAAACCCACTTTTGGAAGGCAATAACCGTCTGGTACTAGGGGATTTCAATGCCCACCATGAGTTGTGGAATTCCGTCCTAGGTAATGACCAGAGGGGATCAGCGTTGGCAGAGCAGATTAACTGCTCCACATTTTGCACGGTAAAAGAGGATGTCCCCACCCGAATAAGAGGAGAGTGTTACATGTCCTACATAGAACCACAACAGCATTGCATGCCATATCCACACATATCAGTCGAAGACTCAACCAGAACAGGCCGTGCCATAAAACAGTAGTGGTGGCTCTCGATCTATCAAAGGCCATTGATACGGTCTACCATCCTCGGAAATTTCGCAAGTTCCTTCCAAATGGTAGGGGGTATTAAAAGTTCGGTCCGGTCGAACTTAGCTGCTTTTTTACTTGTTTAAATTCGAACTAAAAGTACTAAAAAACCACCATATAGACATTTCGGTGAACGGATGAAGAATGACATTTTTATATTGAGGTAACTGTTGTTGTTGTAGCAGTGTTAACATACTCCGTTGTTTGTGTTCTGATTAATCAGGCTCTTCCTTAATGTCCTGGTTTAGGAACTCTGTTACCTTTATGGGCTGTAGTCAGAGATCCTTTGGACGGGGTTGGGTAGGTTTAGCTGGACAATTAAACAGATGCAGCGTATTGTGCGGGCCTGTATCGCACGCTGAGCAGGCGTTCCGCACATCTTTGGAAATTCGTGCCCATCTTGAACGTAGTTGGGCCAAAACTACCCTGGTTTGTCTAGGCAGCCGACGTTCTTCAGCTGCAATGGATGGGGGGTGGACTCCGAGTATGGCATTCATAATGTAATTATTAACTACCTCTGCGACTGCATCAGTATGAATGCTATTCAGACCCGCTTGATAGGCTTCATGATCTAGAGGCTCTCTCTTATATCGCTGGACCTCTCTCTCTAGATCATGCAGGTCCTTCCTGACACGCCTGGGTGGGGGAGTTCTGTCCACCATATGGTGGTTAGGATGACTCCCACGATGACACCCAAGCAGGTACTGCAACGAAAGCTGACGTAAGGGAAGAACCTTCGTCTCCTCATGTAAATGGACCAAAGGAGTCATGAGGAGGCACCCTGTTGAAGTTCTCAGGGCGGCATTCTGGCAGGTCTGAATACTTTTCCACTGCGTTGCACTCGTATTCGCCGACCACACTGGAGCCACATAGTTAACCACAAAAAGACCAATCGCTTTATAAGAGGTCAACAAAGTTTCCTTATCCGCACCCCAAGTCGATTTAGTGGTGGATATTTTCATATTCCTCGCATGGAAGATGGCGGAAAGCTCCTGACACATATGTCATCAACTACAGGACCCGACGCCATGATCGTACAGTTATCCGCGTATGTTATGATCTCGTTGCCGTCTGTAGCGCGGAATTTCAGAAAGGTAGAGGTTTCGGAGATATCACCCCACCTTGGGGAACTCCCTGTTTCGCTCTACGGGGCTTGAACTTCTTATTCCGGAATTCAACGTATGACTGGCGTCCACACTATCCAACGTTTCAAACTTGGCCGGAGGGTAGTATTCTCAACGTCCTCGAACAGCGTGTCATGGTTGACCGTATCAAAGACCTTTGATAGATCGAGAGCCACCACTACTGTTCTATGGCACGGCCTGTTCTGGTTGAGTCCTCGACTGATATTTCTGATTTTGCAATGCTGTTGTGGTTCTATGTAGGAGACGGAAACCGTGTTGATGGTTAGCAACTGAATAGCTTCCTCTGATACTGGGGAGGAGTAAAGCCTCGAAGGTCTTTGCTACTGGCGACAAAAGCAAAATTGGCCTGTATGATTCGCCTTTGCTGGTATCCTTGCCAGGCTTCAGTAACGGAACCACCCTGCCCATTTTCCAGGCTTCGGGAACTATGTGGTTGGCTAACGACAAGTTAAGTACATTGGTTAGATACTCAACCCCCGGTGTATCCAGTTGCTTCAACATTACTATTGATATTCCGACCGGGCCCAACGCTTTAGATGACTTTGGGACGACATTCTGTGGAGGTACGTCCTCGGCGGGAAGAGATCTTATACGACGTAGTACTCTTCGGCTCACTCTGGGGGGGCTCGACAAATTGGAGGTTAAAATGGCCAGCGCACCTCTTCGATCAGTCATCGTTACATCGTTAAATGTGACTGCTGTCCAATCATCCTTTTTTCCATGGTTCGAGAGTGACTTTACCGTTACCCACAGTTCAATGTTGCAACACTTCAGATGGTCTAGCCACTTTCCCCGCTTATGCTCCTGTACCAACCTGTTGAATACCACCGTCAGTTCACTGACTCTGGGATCAGTAGGGTTGGTACGCCGGAGCTCATCACGCTCATTTTCTAGTCCCGCTACCTCTGCTGGGAAATTTGGTCTTACTTCGGGTATTCGACCAGCAGGTTTATAGCGAGCGGCTGCAGCTTTGATGATGTCCCGGAAAATCCTTTCTGCTACCCGAACATCAGAAGGGTTGAGCAAAGGTTGGTGAACTCTCTGAACTCAGACCAGTGAGCTTTCCCATGGTTAAGGAAAATGCGGCGTTCAGAGGTTATGAAATCGGGCGATCTGCTGATGGAGACGATTATGGGAAGATGGTCTGAGCCAAGAGAAATGACGGGTTGCCAAGTCACGCCATTTATCAGACCGGGTGACACAATGATTAAATCTGGCGAAATGTGACACTCTCCTCTTATGCGGGTGGGGGCATCCTCTTTTACCGTGCAAAGTGTGGAGCAGTTAATCTGCGCTGTCAACGCTGATCTACTCTGGACATTATCTAGGACGGAATTCCACAACTCATGGTGTACATTGAAATCCCCTAGTATATATATATATATATATATATATATATATATATATATATATATATATATATATATATATATATATATATATATATATATATATATATATATATATATATATATATATATATATATATATATATATATATATATATATATATATATAATATGATATTTCCTCAATACATTTCGATAGAGCTTGAAATTTGAAATATTGATATAGTGTAGGGTTGAGATTTAAAAAAAGTGGTTTTGAAAAAAATATCGAAAAGTACTAAATAACTCAAAATTTGGTATCCCACATCTGTAAATGAAAAAAAAAAAACAAACAGCTATAATTGCTTTATTTTGCACTTAATTTCTGCTTATTTTTATATCTCTCTCCCTCCCGCTCGCCCGTTCACTTTACTCAGTACAGTATTATAAGTAAAAAAGCAGCTAAGTTCGACCGGACCGAACTTTTAATACCCCCTACCATTTGGAAGCAACTTGCAAAATTTCAAGAAATTCCGTTTAATTGATGAACTTTATACGGGGGATATGCAAAGATGCGAACCTACATAAGTAATTTTTTGTCATATGCTGTAGAACCCATTAAGATCTTCAATTACGAAATTTAAAACAATTTCGGCGAATAATGCCGCTGAAAAATGCCGAATAAAGGGAGGAACCGTTATATGTGGGCTATACGAAGACTTTATATATGCCTTATATGTGGGCTATACGAAGACGTGGGAGACGTGGATATGCATACGATTTTTTTTTTGCATAGCAGTACCCAATACAAACAATTTCGAATACGAAATTTTAAACAATTCGGGTAAATAATGGCGCTAAAATAATCAAAGTACGGAATATCGGGAGGTACCGTTATATGGGGGCTATACGAAAAATGCACATGTGTGCAAAATGTTAGCCTCTACTCAATTCTTTCAAAACATAGCGTGATTAAAACAGACGGGCAGACAGACAGACACATAAAAAGACGGACATTGCTAAATCTCCTTAGAATTTTAACGTAATCCAGAATATACATACTTTGAATAATGCTTTCCATATTTTGTGGGTTATTGATATATAATTTTAAACCCAATTAGCCCACATCGAAAATTTCAATGTGCGCCGTACTACAAGCTTAGTAATGATATTTTAAAGGGCATAGCAGTCTTCTCTATTCAAAAGGCCTTTAATTTGTAATTTTGAAGTCGTAACGTTTAGAAGAACATACTGCATTATTTTATTCCGAATATTAAATTTCACTAATCAGTTTGTATTTTTGTATATTTGGCCCATTGTCTGGTATAGTCCCTATAAAGAAGTAACTCTTGGTGAAAAGCTGCCACATGATAGAAGTAATTCATCGTTTCGATATGAGTCTTATGTGAATAGCTGTTTCGATCTTACATATATATGTCTTTGTATGACTTATTCGCATTTTGCAGCTGAGGTATCTAGAAAATCATATTTTGAAATATTAATATGAATAATTCATCCTTTGTAAAATGTTAAATGTCCAGGAGTAAAATACTAATAAATCACATTGCCAACTGAATTGGCTACAATTTATGAAAGGTTATATTTTATGATAGAAATCACACTTACGATAGTAGAATGCACCAATTTGATTTTCTAAAATCAGCCAATCAGAATTCCAAAAAAATCTAAACTTTCAGTTCAAAGTCCAAATGAAAATATTGCATGCTTTATTAGAATAAATAAAACCATTCTAGTTGCACTTCAACCCATTATAACTCTCGTTTGAATCAGTGTGGTTTCGTTT